TCTCTCTCGCCCTCTCCCTCTCCCTCTCCCTCTCCCTCTCCCTCTCCTTCTCTCTCTCTTCCTTATTCTCTCTCTAAAAAAATTAATAAAAACATTAAAAAATAAAATGAGAATTTATTTATGCAACCAAATATTTATTGAGCTCCTAGTATATGCTCTTTTAGGCACAATGTTTTAGGCACAGCAGATATCAATGAACAAGAGACACGCAGACCCTCTTCTTATGGCTAACAATCTGATAGATGAAGATGTGCATCTGGCCATCACCACACTATTGTCTGTATCCATGGGTTGTGCATATATCTTCTTTGACTAATCCCTTCATCTTCTTTTATCCAGTACCTGTCTTCACCCTCCCCTCTGACAGCTGTCAGTCTATTCGATGTATCCATCCCTCTGTTTCTATTTTGTCAGTGTAATTTATTCATTAGATTCCACATTTAAGTGAGACCATAGACTTAGTTTTTTGAGGAACCTCCATACTGTATTCCATAGTGGCTGCACCAATTTACATTCCACAAGTGGTGTGCGAGGATTTCCTTTTCTCCAAGACTTGTTATTTCTTGTTCTATTTCATAAGCCAAGCTTTAAGATCAACCTCATTGTGTGTATGTATATGTATATGTATATAGGCTCTGGTTCTGTTTCTCTGGAGAATTCAGGTTTATGTAGATTTTTTCATTCACCATAATATTTTTGAGATTCACTTGTGTTGTTGCATGTATATTGCTGAGTAGTATTTCATTCTATGAATACATCATAGTGTGTTTATTCATTTTCCCAATGATAGAATCCTAGACTATTTTCAGGTTTTGGCTAATTATGAATTAAACTGCTATAAACAATCTTTTTATCAATGGATTTTATTGGAAACAATCAGACCTTTTCCCCAAAGTGGTTGTATTATTTTATATTCCCACCATAATGTATGAGAGACCTAGTTGCTCCACATCATCACCAACACTTAGTATAGTCAGTCCTTTAGATTTTGCCATTCTTGTGGATGCATAATGGTATCTCATTGTTAGTTAATTTGCATTTCCCTAATGAACAACTCTTTCTTGTGCCTATTGGACATTCATATATCCTTCCCTGTGATGTATCTATCCAAAGTCCATATGCATTCCTCCACTGTTCTTTCCATCATATTTGATATCAGCCTCTTGCCAGATATGTACCTTTGGAAAACCCTCTTTCATGGATTCTTTCATTAATACATTATTTGGATGCTAATAACGTTACTGTCTTTTACCGGGAGATATCTAACAAGAATATACCACAGGTTTGAAGAGAAAACTGTGAAGCAATTTTTGAAAAGAATTAATTCCTTTCCCTCTGTTTTCTTTTATCCACACCTGAGAAGGGTATTTTTATTGGAGAGAGAGAGAGAGAAAGAGAGAGAGAGAGAGAGAGAAAAGAGAAACGTTGCCTTCTGTACATGCCCCAGGTGGGTTTTGAACCCACAACCTAGGTATGTGCCTTGACTGGGAATTGAACCTGAAAACTTTTTGTGTATGGGACAAAGTCCAACCAACCTATCCACCCGACCAGGACTAGAGTGATTTTATGGTGCTAGGTAAGTTGAATTACACTGTGTAGCCCTGTTTGTACTTATTGGGCTCACATTTGCAGAACACATAACTTCTCAGTTGTTAATTGAAATCGGCTTCTCTTTTCTTAGGTCAACACTTTAGTCTGTTATTTGCCACCACTATTTATGAGTAGTATTTTTTTACATAAGATATTCCAATAACTTATTTATTGCTTCTACTTCCTATTTCTGCAGAAGCACAGAAACTTCCAGCCAACATCTCTGGGAAAAGTATTTGTGCCAAAGGAAATGACAAAATTACAATATGTGAACCCTACAAAGAATAAAAATACTCTATTTCAATCTTACCCTGATCAATGCTACCTTGCTCTAGTAATGAAAATATATTCTTGAAAAATGATTCCATTAGTCTCTGTTAGAAATAGAAAGAGTTCTTTCTATATCCTCTTACAGTTTTGTAGCTATGCTTTTCTTTTCATTTCTCTTTCCCAGCTACAGAAAAAAAGTTCTGTTTGAGAAAACTGTCTTTGCTCAACTCACATATTAGAACCTTTATGAAATGAGTGGGTTCAGTAGAAGATCTCATTAGTAATACAGACACTGCTCATTTGTTTCTGTTATTATCTCAAAACTATCTCCCATTTCTATCAGCAGTACTTGTCATTCTCCACAGCTATTTTACTTCTCGAGGGTATGTCTAAAGAGAAAACTGTCCAGGCAAAAAAAAAAAAAAAAAAAAAAAAAAATCCTTATTTTTAAGAACCAGGAACTTAGCCATTTCTTGGTTAAATCTAAAAAGACAGGAAACTCTTTGGTCTCTTCACTTGCCTTTCTTGGCACTTACTGAAGTGATTCAGACCTTGACCCTCCCACCAATTGGAAATCAATAGACTGACTAATAGGGCCCCAACCCAAGGCACCTGAATACTTAGAGAGTTGCTGAAAGATGAGAGACAAAACCTACCTCACTGGAGTTGTTGGTCTGAAGGTTTTGCTTGAAGTACTCAAAAACTTTCAATTTCTTAATAATTTTTGTGAAATTTTGTGGGAGTGGGGAATTAAAAATAGACTCTACCCAGGTATGCACCTGCCTGAACCTATGGACTAGACAGGCTTGAAGAGATTGTGATGACTTCACTCACACGGGCCACATTGGACACGTGGGTACGTCTCTGGCGTTTCTCCAAGTTTCTCATTGTCCAGAAACCATGTTCTTGTTTGACCTTTACTAAGAATCTCCCTAGTTATTGCCATAGTCTATCAAACCAGTGCTATAATAGTCAACCATGGGAAACTAATACAGAAAGTTCATACACTCTGTCAAAGAAAAAAGGACATGGTAGATTAGAGCCCTGGTTTATTTATTGTTTAAATATTTATTAAGGGCCTACAGTGTTCCATATGTTCCTGCACATTACTGGAGCACACAGCTCATATCTGCTGGAGAAAGATAGAGATGTACATAGGCAGTTACAATTTCCTGGATATTAGGCATAACAATGTGCACAGAGAGCAATAGGTTCAAATGGGAAGATCTACCTGTATGCATAGGTGTTTTAGTACATGTGTATGTGTGCTACACAGGGTGTCAGTGGTAGTTGGCAACATTTCCTGGAAAACTTAATATCATTGGCTAAATTTGAATGTATGGGCTGGAGTTAGCCAAGTCAGTATGGTAATAAGAGTATTTATGGTGGAAAGGGCAGCTTTGCAATGACAAAGAGATGTGTAAGAACTTGGCCCATTTGAAGAAGGTCAAGTAGCTTAGTTTGATTGAGTTTAAAGCTCAGTAAGGAACAATGGAGAGAGACGAAGCTTGAAATATTTGTAAGTTATCCCATTAAGTAACAGAGGTAAGATCTAAATGAGGCAGTCTGAAGAAAGAACTTGAGCTCTCAACCTCTGTATTGTGTAGATGTGGGCAGATTACATTATGAGGGTGTTGATATAATCAAGGAGAAATCACAGTGGCAGGAAGTAAAAGTAATAGTGGACCTACACACAGGATATAGGTGCACTGCATATGAAGGAAGTAGACTTGATAGGATTTTAAGTGGTTACTGAAAGAACAGTTAGTAGAAAGAGGGAAAAATTAAGGATGATTTGGGTGATGGCAGCACCATTTTTTAAATGGAGACTATGGAATAAAAGCATATTTTGCAAGAGCATTTATAAGTTCAGCCAATGATCAGTTAAGTGTTGAAGTAAGTCTTAAAAATGTGTTTTGGGGAACTATATAAATAGGGGGTGGATCTCTGATAGGGACACAGGCATGATTTCCAAGGCAGAATGGGTAAAGTGAAAAGAGAAACAGGCCAAGGATAGAACCCCGAGAAACACCAACATTTAGAGCACTGGCTTTCAACCCAGTATTTATAGAAATAATTGGGCAAATAAAATTGTATAAGGAAAATCAATTTATAGGAGAATTCAAAGGCATTAATAAAATGGCCTGGCAGTGGTGGAGAAAGGGGGCTGTGGATGGAGGCTGTAGGCTGCAGGAAGGGCCTGGATTGGGGGCAAGAAAGCATAGGTGGGTGGTGAGGCCCAACAGTTAGGGTTCCTATATTACTTATCCATTGATGTGTAACAAAGCACTCCAAAGTTTAGCAGCTTTAAACAACAAACATTTATTATTTCACAGTTTCAGTGGGTCAGAAATTGAGGTGAGGTTTCATTGGTTGCCTCTGGCTCAGGGTCTCTCAGGTTGCAGTCTAGTTGTCGGCCATGCCTGTGGTCCCATCTGTAGGCTTGATTGACAGAGTATCCTCTTTCAAGCTTACTTACATGGGTTGTGGCAAGCTTCTGTCGCTTGTCACTTGGGCCTCTCCATATGGCTGCCTTATGACATTGTAGCTGGCTTCTCTAGGTTGAACAAGCCAAGAGAGAGCAATAAGACCTCTTTCAAGATGGAAGCCACAGTCCTTTTATAGCCTAATCTCAGAAATGACATCACATCGTGTTTTCAGTATTCTGTTTATTAGAAGTAAGTCCAGTATATTATTCCATACTCAAGAGGAGGGGATTACACAAGAATATAAATACCATGAGGCAGAAATCATTGGGGTTCATCTTTGAGGCCACCTATCAAAATCCTTATTTCCATGGTATCTGGTAATTAGGGATTCATAATGCCCCTGTTTGGTAATCACTAATATAAATGATGGGCAGAGAAATCAGTGCTCAAAAATAAACTGAGACACAAGAAACTACAAAGGTAGGAAGGAAACCAGGAGAGAATGATGTCTGTCAAAAACCAAAACAGTGAGTATCAAGAAGGAAAGAGCCCTAACCGGTTTGGCTCAGTGGATAGAGCATAGACCTGCTCACTGAAGGGTCCCAGGTTCAATTCCAGTCAAGGGCATGTACCTTGGTTGTGGGCACATCCCCAGTAGAGGGTGTGCAGGAGGCAGGGAGGCAGCTGATCGATGTTTCTCTCTCATCGATGTTTCTAACTCTCTATCCCTCTCCCTTCCTCTCTGTAAAAAATCAATAAAATATATTTTAAAAAAAGGAAAGAGAGGTCATCAGTGCCAAATACCACTAGTGTCGGAGCCATCTTTGGATGTATCATTGATAATCTAGGAAGGGGCAATTGCAGTACATGTTTGGGCAGAAGGCAGAATACTGGGGATAGAAGAGTAAAGTCAAGGAATAAAAATAGTGAGAATGGGGGACTTTAAAAAAGCATTGTGAAGGAAGAAGAGCATGTACTAAATAGAGGCAATCTATACTTAAAGGAGACTTTTTTCTTTTACTGGAAATGCAATATATGACATATTTTGTCCATCACTCATGCTGTTTTCCCATCCCAGTAGGTCTGCACTTCCCTCTCCATTTATGAAACCACTGCTTTTACTTCAAGGCTTGGATCAGTCTGTGTTTCCTATGAGAATTATTTGTCTGCCTCTGTGTATTCTATAGTATGTTACTGTTACCTCTATCATATATGTTATGTCCTTCTGCTTTGTTTTACAGATATTTGTGTACATGTCTGCCTTTTTTTTCTTTTTAACAAGACTGTATGTTTCTTTAAATCGGAGTCTGCATCTTTTTGGTCTGTGCACCTGGGTGAATAATGAGCACAGTGCTCTGTTTAGCGACATTTGTAACATGTTTGTTAAATGAATGGATGAATGAGAGAGTGGATGAAACTGGTGAACACCTTGTGCTCTCAGCTTATGGCTAGCAGTCAGGCCTCCCTTCTTCCTCTGTCAATCAATGGCAGCAAATCTAGAAAGCCCAACACTGGAGATTCATTCTTTCTGTATTATCATGATTTTCCTGGTCTGTTTAAAAGCCACAGATCTGGAAAGAATAAGCTGATAAATCCAGAACATTTTCCTGACAATGTATTTATCAGATTAGACACAAAGAGAAAATGAAACAAGGAAGGAAGGAAAGTGGGATAGCAATATGGTTGGATTTGTTTTGTAACTTAGGGATGAACCTTTTTGTAAGGTTTAGACAACTAAGGAGCCAGAAAACAGGCTCCAATCTGATTTTAAAAATCACATGATTATGTTGGAGACAGACAATGATGCTTAGTCATTGTGTAGTTTCTGCTATTTGACAAGTAGCCCTTTTGCCAAGTATGGACGTGCTATTTCTGGAGGAGTGGGCTATGCAAATGAGCGGCAGGTGAATGAGCTTCCAGGTTTGGTTTATTATTTTCTTCTGCAGTTTCATTGGTGCCTCCCTCTGGATTCTGTTCTCCAAGGAAGCTGTTACAGCAGCTTCAAATAAATTATTTTTCCAAGTCTGGTTTATCCTAATTTCACCTCCTGTTTTGTGCAGAAAGAGCTCTCAGGCTAGGCACTGCAGTCATTTGTGTTTGCCGAGGCAGAGAGAGCTTTGATGAGCTGAACGGATCTTGCTTCTGCAGCTGAGAGAGGCTTCGGGCCCTCTGTTCACATGGGGGTAGAGCTGCACTTAAAAAGAAGGCTTTCTGTGCAGGCTCTTTGACAAAGCAGAGGTTTTTCTGCCCCTGCCACTACGTCTGGCACCCTCAAGGCACTATTTGGAATTCATGCTCCCACCTGTGCCTACCAGTCCACACCCTGGGGCATGACTCAGAATTATCCACTTGCCGGTTTTCAGGCCTGCACCACAATGTTTAAAAATTATTTATGTTCCAATTACACTTCATTACTTTTTAACTAAAGCTCTCATTTCACTCCAGTGAAGAACCCAATATGATTTGAGTAATTTCAAAGCAGCCACAGAGATCCTGCATTTGGGGACCATATTTCCATAAAAACAAAGCATACCATTTAGAACTTTTCCCAATTTGTGAAACAAAGTGAATTGGTGAAGCTCAGAGACTTAAGTGTGGAGTTGCTACAAAAGGTAACATAAAAAAATTCTTATATCTTCTGTTAATCAATCAATTTCCAGCAGTATCCATGGAGCAGTTTAGTTTT